AGGGAGAATTGTAGCTTTATGGCCTCACTGGGCCTGAAGACTCAGAAGAAAGCACTTTTATTCTAAAAGAAATTGCTGTAAAACATGAGTTGGCCAAAGGCTGTTATGCCACAAAATGTGCAGCATAGTAAATGTTCATATCATTGTACATTAAAACACACAAAGTGTGCCAGAGATGTAGGTGTGTCAACAGTGGAATAGAATACTGTATGTACTGTATTCTTTAAATTCACCACATATAAACCACATTTCACTTGTTTCTCACAGATGATAAAAACCACTTCACATGGAATACATTACAATGAATCTAGCCATATGTTGTTTTGAAACATTTTACATTATTTTCATTCCATATTAGTGTAAGAAACATAAATTTTACACATTGCTTTATATGTGAAGCAACATGTCACATGTAATGAAGTTCCAAATAGACATGTTTGTCTATATGGATCGTCTATATGCCTGAATGAAATGTTTGAAGTAGGTCAAACGTGTATCATTTTACATATGGCATTCATTTCATATGATTTGTTCATTTCAATGCAATATCAGAAATGAAACATCATTACACATGTGACTAATTTCACATCCAGATGTGTTTTTTTACATGTGGAACAGCACTTTATAGGTATATGTGTTTTGTGGATATTTAACATGTGATGAAAAACACAAGATCTAAACACATATGGCTTTCAGACATTTCACACACATACTATAATATTTAACAAGAGATAGCATCCATTTTTGTACAGAACGGTTCAAATGGACAGCTAGACTGATACATTTGTGATTTAAGGCAAAAACAACGGTAATTACTAAAAGTCAGATTTGGTGAGTTTTCACTTTGATGTTATGGAAATGATGATTATATTGAACTCTCACGCAGCCTTATGTCAAACTATCTACATACAATTCTTGAGGAGAATCACTTAAATGGAAATTAATGACATAAATATGAATCAGTTTGCCTTTAAAAAATGTTGACACAAAATCTGTCTGGTGGCTTCAAGTCCAAAAATGTTGCTAATATCAACTTTCAAAATGTATTACCAGTAAAATCTGAAGGGCTACATCATGCTCAGAAGTGTGTGAACCTCAACTAAACAAATGAATGTCAGTCAGCAACTTTTCCTGTATTTTTATTAGCACAACTTGAAATACAAATGTACAAACACATCTTACTGTGAGACAGATCAGATATGGAGAAGTGCGAATTGCCTGCAACTTTGGCCTTTAACACACATTGCTATGTTCTGCCACACACAGGCTTGTTCTTCAGAGAGTGAGACAAATGATACTCTGAGTAGTATGAGTGATATGTGTGTGTGATAAGAGGGGGCGCCATGGCAGTGGCAGGACACAACACTGTACCCTCCCCACGCACACACACGATAAGCATCACCTCCACCCACTGGGCTTCCTTTGTCTTCCTCTCACTCTCTCTCTCTGCTCTGAACCAGTAAGTGAAGCAACTCAAAACACAGAGAACGCTGGCTGGAGTCAGACGAATCACAGATACAATACTTGGCAGACAGAAGAAGGCAGAGGAGGAAAGCAGTGAAGGTCAAAGGATAAGACACAGAGGGCTTTGTAGTTTAACATGGGGAAGGTAGAAGCAAACAAGCAAATACTCTCACACTGTCTAAACACAACAGTTCTCTTTCTTTATTATTCAGCAGAGATTTTCTAGTAATATGGTTTCTGCAGGGCCTCATTCATTCTCACATTATCAGCATTCAACCAACAAGACTTTTGGAACTTAAAGAAATCTGCAGCTATGCTAGCTACCAGACCTGTTTTATTGGGGTAAATCCCAGTTCCCATATTTGGTCATTCCTCACTCACTGATCATCACAAGACCCAGACATTTTTCCGATCTGCCATCTTGAAGGGCATCCCAAGTCTCTTATTCCTGCCCTGAAGAATGTGGAGTGAGAAGGCTCCCTGATACCATGAGCAAGGATACAAAATAGCATCCTTCATGAAAGTCATTTCTGGACCAACATTCCCCTTTGTCAGAAATCAATTGGTGATGGCATATGTCAGTTAAAGGATCAAAGGAAAAGACATCTAATGTTGGTATGAACATTTCTCATTGATTCCTCTTTCCTCACATTTTCTCCTTGCATCTTTTCTTTGCATGTTATGTGGGCGGGACTAAGATACAAGGAAAGGACACAAGTGAAGGAAATGTTCATGCAATCCGGGGAATTGGCATTCACTGCTAAATTAGGAATAATGCTATGAAAACCAATTTTTCTCACAGCCTTTTACGTGTTGGGTTGACATATATTTAATTAGTATGACTGAGTCTGGAAACTGCCAGAAATTATACATTATTAAACTATTACCAATTTTAAAAGGTATTCTTAAAACATTTTTATGTTTACTTGCTATACAGTGTGTGTCTGCATGTGTCTCGCAATTGCCTTAGCATTTACAGTTTGCAGAATACATTTACAGAATTTTATGATTTTGAAATGGAAACATGAATTCATCAAATAAAGATAATATGAAACATAGATCTAATTACAAGCATATATATATAAATCTTTATTTTTTCTGTAGAATTATTAATGGATCATAAATGAAAATTTAAATTCAGTTTTTAATTACTTTAACTGTTTATTTGCGGATTACAATGAAAAAGTCTATAATTACTGAGCGGCCCACTCCTGACTCCATAAAGCAGAAAATTAGAATATGCAAAAACACCCCCCATGCAAAAAAAGAACAAATACTACTGTATTTGAACAAAATATTGTATCAAATTTTGCAGTAAATATGTAAATATGTATGTGGATGGATGACAGAAACATATTCTGTTGAAAAAAATGTGGTAAACAAAAGTATACCCATATTTACTGTACTTTTATCTGTTTAGACATACTGTATATCTGAGGCAAAGTGTTGAAAAGCAGAGAAAGGTGTAAAAGAAAACCTGTCAGATATGCAAAACTATCTGTGACACAATATGTAAATATTTTTGACACCTGACTGAAGGAGCCAGGTGTGGCTGTCAGTATGAGGTCAGATTAGATGAATGAAGTCTGTCACAAGACAGCAGATAAAGCTATAGATGCCACAATCACTCCTTAACCTCTTCTCAAACAATAGGCAGCAGGATATAATGTCACGTTCCCTCACCCACCGTGGAAGTAAATACCAGACATATAATGCATCCACACACATTCACAAGACCAGTTAAAGGCATTACAATTTGGGAGTAAAAGACAAAAGGAAAATCCACTCATTTGTGGGTGACTAGGTTGTTTTAACCTCAAAACCAGATTACAGGGGACTTACTATCAAAATCACTTGAAACCAAATCAATCCTGCCCAGTGGTTGATAGACTTTTAAAATATACTATACAATAAGGGCACGGTGAACATAATAAGAGGAAGGAAAACTACAGCCACCAAACTGCATGACAGGTAACAAAGGTGGATAAGAAATGACTAGTGCAAATCATTAATGATCTACTGGCATGGGACTGTGCTGGTGTTAGACAACAGCAAAGGAAAACTCTTTATAATTAAAATCACTTTCAGTTCACTACAGCAGGCTGTAAAATGGGGTTTTTCAATTATCGGAATCTACCAAAACCTGTCAAGCCATGTAATACTCATAATCATTTTTGCATTTGTTTCCACTGCCCTCCACATGCACTGGAGGTGCGTTCCAGGAACTACATTTTGGCACCCCTCAGGAGGTATTACTAAAACCAAGTTCCAGGAATGGAGGGGCAGAAGTGAGCTGATGCCTCTGATTGGTTAAATAACAGTGTCTTCACACCTCAAGCATTAGTATTACAAGTACAATGTGTAAACACTCACTGGTTTAGAGGTAAAACGAGGACTTCTCTTGTTGGTTTAGGGATAAAATGGGGAGTGGCCCCTGGGCAAAGCGGTGAAGGCGTCACATTTCTGGAAGTCTGTGTTCTGCTTGTTGAACAGTTCTGTTTGATAAACTGCTCATACAGTCTCCATACAGTGGCTGATTGTTGCAGTATGAAGTGATGCTTCAAGTCCTCTGCACTTCCTCTGCTCAGCTGAGTGAGAGGACCACAGCCCCTCCCTCCTCTAAGCAGAAAATGGCAGCAAAAAATGGAAACGCAAAGTAGGTAGGACGGTCATAATTACAAGATAGGAAAGAGAGATCTTTTCTCATAATTATGAGAAAACACCTACAACAATCTGACATCAAGTCCTCCACCTTACACAGCCCATGTCCCTTCCCTCTCATGCAACCAACATGAGCATCTCTTGAAATATTCCTCCTACTACTCTCCAAACTTTAACAACAACATAAATCACACTAGCAAGCTTTACAGACTTTTGTCACCATGGATGGAAGCAGCCATAAACTCGGGTTCATTATCTTTTGTCACACAAAGTACTTGGTTAGGTTTAGGAACAAAAGCTACTTGGTTATTGAAAAACACAAACCATCCACTGGAACGGAAACCTGCTTGCCTGAGGGAAATCAGAATGTCCTGTGTTTTAAGTACCAACCCATCCACCCAAACCATCTCCTAATGCAGACTTCCTACATCTCCTAACTTCTTCCTTAACTTATGTCACAATTACTACCATCACTAGAAGTGGCTAAAATATAATACCTTGCACAAATGACATAAAGTAATTTTTTACAGGATATAGGCTCATATTGGAGCATCTATTTCATTCATCCAAATTTTTGTGAGAATTCAGAACACTGTGTATGAGTGAACAAATGCCTAAACATGACTCAAACATGGACCAGACAGACAGCACACTAACAGATTAACAGCCTCAGTGTAACTGATGGGAGACACTGGAATAAAATACAACAACTGAAGCTAATGACAAACTTCAGTAAAGTAAGGTAGGTGGAGTAGAATGAACTGCATCATAAAGAAAAATGTACAAGAATGATTAAATAAAATAGTCCAGCTTCTATCACAGAGCAGGAGAGCAGGTATTCAAACTGAATAGAGTAAATGAATGAGGCTTCCTACCCGATCCTGCATCCATGATGTTGGACTGTCCTCGACGATCACCCACCAACCGTGATGAACCAGGCATGCTGACTGGTTCTGAACGTACTGGTTGAATCCTGTACACAAACAGTATATGTACATTATTACAAATAGAAAGAAACACACCCAGAGTAACATTTTAGGGGTTCAGATGCATGTTTGATTGTATCTGATTCTAGGAGCCTATAGGGGGAGATCTGGATTGTTATTTTAGTGATTGTCTGTGCAGATTCTCAGTCAAGTTTTTTCAGTTTATTTTAGTGATTGAATGCCAACAGTAGAAGGATAATTTTAGTGAAATCTATGATCTGATATGAAATCTATGATTTGAATAATATTATTCTTAAATGAGTTCTTGAACAGATAATTTGCTTAAAGTCCTGATTTTTACTGTTGGGTGCATTATTTTTTGATAGTACCTGAGGCTGTGCAGGTCCAGGTCATCTGTATCAAAGTCCAAGAGGGGCTGGGGGATATCAGTTGGGCCCTGTGACTGAAGTACGGAGGACGAGGAGGAGATGACTGTGGTCTGGCCTGATGGGTGAATGGTCTTAAACTGAAACTGGGGGCCCATCCACAAGCGCCGGTGAGGTCCTGTATGGGTCACAATCTCCACCTGAAAATACACAGATAAAAGTTAGTGATGAGAGAGAATTATTTACAGTCATCCAAACAACTGGCTAACATTTTCCAGAAACTCTTGGTTCTAGTACTTATTTGGCTAAAACCGTAATAGAGGCAGAAAATGTTTTCTATTAGCAGGTTCAAATAAACAAAACTAGGAGTTTGCAGCAAGACTACAGTAGCAGCTTTGTGTAGCTGTACTTAAGCGCAGTGGGCTAAATGCCGATATCAGTAAGCTAACATGCTCACTTGATCAGTTAAAGCTACAATGTGCAGTAATTTTCAAATTAATTTTAGTAGGAACATCCATCAAAACTTATCTTAATGGGGAAAGTTACTGATGAAGGCTCCTGTGACCCCAAACTCATAAAACAGCCTGGAAGCAGTGCAGAGATATTGCCTTCTAAAGGTTTTTCAACATGCTTAACCAATCAGAGAAGATCACCATCAGGGGTGGGAGCTCACAGCTGTCAATCAATACATGAATCCGCTTAAGCTCTATGGAAATTGTTATGATTTACTGTCAGGCTAATGAGCTTCTGATTCGTCTTAGCTGAGACAGCCTCATGAAAAGCAAGGTCAAGATAAGAGTTCTGAAGAGAATGAAGAAAAGAAACAAAAAAAAACTGGACTTAGATTATAAAGTTATATTGGCACGGCTTTCAGCAGGTGGAGTACGGAAGAGTATTAGGGCCACTGCATAAATTTTTTTTAATTAGGGCCACTGCATAAATTTTTTTTAAATTCTGACTTCTGAGTATAAAGTCAGAATTCTGAGAATAAAGTCAGAATTAAAAAAAAAAATTATGCAGTGGCCTTAATACTCTTCCGTAGTGGAGAGAGTTGACAGAGAAGAGGGATTTACAAATGGATGCTGATTTGGCATTCTTTCTGTCTGACTGATATATGGTGAATTTATTATTTATATTTGTACGATAAGGATTCAAACCCTTTATGCGTGTTACTAAATCATGCCAGAACGTATCGTTTGCACTCCCACTGTGACTGTAACAGAAGCTGGCTACGCTAAGGATGTCACTGTGTTGCTACTTTCAGTTGTAATAATCACACAGCTACATCCAGGCAAGTTCATGCACAAGCCACTGACTGGTCTGCTGCAGCTGTCAAATCAATTTGTGACCAGTGAATCACACTATTTTGATGCCCACACCTGAATGTGTAGTAGTCTCCACTAATAATGACAAATAAAACTGACTTGAGTTAGCAATGAAAATGATAATCTGCTGATGTTCAGCAAGTAATTCTAATGTTTTTAACCATCTAAGTTTAGAATATTAGCATGCTAAAACTTGCTAAGTAGCACTAAACACAAGGTATAGTTGAGGCTGATAGGAATGGCATTAGTGACTGATGAGCAGTCACCAGCCACATCAACCTGCCCAGTGTGATTGTTTGTTGTGTCTTGTTGCTTTTCTTTTCTCTCTCTCCTCTATCCACTCAGCCCAGCTGGTCAAGGCAGAAGGCCGCCCACCAAGGTATGTTGGAGGTTTCTTCCATTAAAGGGAGTTTTTCCTTCCCGCTGTTGCCAGTGCTTGCTCAAGAGGGATTTGTTTTCCTCTATAATAATAGTGATAATAGTAAGGTATAGACCCTACTTTGTAAAGTGTCCTGAGATGACTTTTGTTTTGATTTGGTGCTATACCAAATCAAATTGAAAATTGAAAATTGAAATTGAAATTGAAATGTCAACCTCATTGTGGTCATGGAGAAAATCCAACGTCTGGTCAGTATGAACAGTTGTACCAAATTTGATGTATGACACATGAAACACTAAAAACCAAAAAATATCTACCTTACCCCATGGGAAAACAAATTTACAATGTTATTCAGATCCATATTCTGGCCACTGCAATAGTCTGTACAAATTTTCAAGGCAATCTATACAAATCTAGTCAAGATATTTCAGTCTGGACCAGCTGTTGGAATAACTGACCACCCAGGAAATAGACTGACGCTGACATCTATTGTGTGTTATCATTGTGGATAAAAAAAACAAAACATCTTTCTTTATCACTTGTGTACTAATTCATCAACACTTGGTCAAGGACAGAATCCTGGTAGCTAGTTGTGGAGCTGTCATTCCTGGATTTGACATAGTGGTTTGGTGTCAGTTTATGTTTATGTGCCAGAACAACCCATGCTGTATTCAGATGAACTCAGTTACATGCCATCCAACTAAAAGCTTGCCAGGCTCCTGCAAAACTGAAAATCTGATGATGATGTCAGACCTTATCAAGGTCTTGTGTGTGTTGGGAGTGCTGGCAGCATGATGGGAAACCTTCCCAGAGGGTTAATAGAAGTGTGACACTACCAACAGCTTGACAGCAAGGATGAGGTGAGGCCTACTGGGAGAATAAGATGGTGCAGGCATGGCAGGTGGCCCATGGGCACTTGAGCTGAGTGGCACTAACACTGGCTGGAAGTGAGATAGGAGAGGACCGCAGAGTGGGTGACTATTATAGCCTACTCCATTCTCCATCTCCTCCTCGCCTGGAACTTACTTACTAACCATCTCTTGCCTTAGACTCCCACTTCTCACTGCTCTTCCACACTACCTCTGATGTTTCAACTCCCTGCAGCACTTAACACGCCTCTTGGTGTTTCACTGTTCACATTTCGTTATATTTAGTCCATATGCACTTGTCTCTCACCTCAGCCATGCGTTCAGTTCAGTTTTTGATGCACTCTGCCTGCCAGGTGCCAACATGAGAGACAAGAGGAGAGCTGACACACTCTTAATTCTTCTATGTCTGTGTTTATGCACATTTATATATATATATATATACATACACACATACATACATACATACATACATACATACATTACATATATATAATGTGGTATGTCACAGCTGTGCAAATTAGGTCACAGAAGAAGGGAGGAGGATTGTCACTTTGTGTGTGTATGTGTGTATCTATCTGTCTGTGTATTTTGCTAGTTAACACCACCAATGTCACACCCAGCTGCAGAGCGGAACAGCTGCCAGGGTGCTCTCTGCTGCAGGATGAAGGTCCATATGTTACAGGCCAGTGTCAACCCCCAAACCCCTCCTCTCTCCCCCTTCCAGCTTGTCAGACATAGCACGTGACATGTTGCCCCAGATTTTCTCCTAAAGTATGTGACTACTCACTGAGTTAGCTTATGTTAACTGATGAGCAAAAGACTTGTTTGTTGCCTCATAAACATGCAACTGGGCAACATCAAGACAGCAATAAGCACAGTTTCCTACTGTAATGATGCATTCTTTCTTTGGGACATCTCCTTTTATATGTATACCTACAGCAGGCTATTAAATACAAACCCCAATTCCAATGAAGTTGGGACACTGTGTAAAATGCAAATATAAACAGAATACATTGCCTTGCAAATCCTTTTTGACCCATATTTAATTGAGAACACCACAAAGACATAATTAATGTTCAAACTGATAAACTCTATTGTTTTTTGCAAATATTCACTCATTTTGAATTTGATGCCTGCAACACATTCCAAAAGAGCTGGGACAGGCGCAACAAAACACTGGGAAAATTGAGGAATGCTCAAAAAACACCTGTTTGGAATATTCCACAGGTGAACAAGTTTATTGGAAACAGGTGAGCATCATGATTGGGTATAAAAGGAGCATTCCAAAAGGCTCAGTCATTCACAAGCAAGGATGGGGCATGGTTCACCACATTGTGAACAACTGCACGAGCAAATAGTCCCACAGTTTAAGAACAACGTTTCTCAATGTACAGTTGCAAGGAATTTAGGTTTTTCTGTAACTGCTCATGACTGCTTTTGACCGGTTGTAACCAACTTCCCCATTCACAGCATTTTAGCAAACTTCTCTTCTCTCAGAAAACTAAATCATCCTAACCCAATAAAAATACAGAAAACTCACATCTGATTGAAATCCAAACAATCCTATCATCACATTTAACTAAACCATCAGAATTACACACTGTTACACAAAAGCTATCAATGCCTTAAAATTAAACCACAGATCAGTATATTTTGACTGCAACACTTGACTAAACATTGATTATCATTGATTAGACATTGATCAAACATTAATTATCAATCAAATCTTTACTTTATGCATGAAACCATAATTTTTTAACTTTTCTTAATAAACTGTCTCCCTTCTCTCTTTCTATCACACACACACACACACACACACCTGTACTTCCTCTTTTGTATAGATGTGTGTCTTACTTCCCTTTTCTCAATGTTTCAGCATTTTCACTCTTTATGATTTGGATTCTGAATGTACTTTAGACTTCTAAATGTACCTTTTTCAATACAGTCCTTTCTCATTTTATTCTTACACATTCACTAATGATTATTTCAAATAAAAACACACACACAACTCATTTTATGATTATCTTAACTTTTCTACTTTATGCATTTTGCCATAGCATTTTAATAATTTTTCTCTCTCTCCCAGCTCCTCTTGTTGTTTCTTGTAAACATCATTGCTGTTCTTGTGAGAATTCTAACTGAAAAGAGACAACTTGTTCAATAGTCTCCTGCAGCTCTTCTTGTAAAGTTATTTCTGATGCCAGATCATCAGAGGCCAGTTCTGCTGTTATGGCCTTGTGCTTTTTGGTTCTCTCCGGGACCCATTTTTATAGGTTTGCCGACAAGCTAAAGTGATTAACATTTTCCAAAAGCCACCATCAAAGGCAGAGTGAAAAGGCTGTTATTATGGCCTTGTCTTACTTGCATCCCACTGCCTACCAGATCTGTGTGACTCTGTGTCAAGAACACTTCAGCCATTCTCTCCTTGAAGCCAATCATACTGTAGCACTTGGTTGTTAAAAAAAAAAGTGCCAGTCTTGCTACTTTAACACCTCTGCACACCTGGCCAAAGTATAAAGTGGGCATGCTTGTCTTTTTCTGAAAATTACCAAAATTGTTGAAAGCCCCAACCACACAAGACCTCCATTAAAAAGACAATTATATTCTATATTCTTTCAGACGATCCGAAGTGCACTTTCACATTGTGCATTAAGGTTGATGCAAAAAGCATTACTCAATACAACACATTCACAGTTAAAATCTTTTGTTAAAGCATTATTAAAATATTGTCTTGATGTCAACATCACTGAGTACCAACCAGTGCTCAAATGGTGTGACTGATTCACATTGTCTCACAATATTTTAGCATTCTGTTAGCATATCAAGGTTCCCCAAGGTTGGCAGTTTCCCCAACATCTTTTTTCCCAAGCTAATTTAAAACCATTCTGAACATCTGTTCTCCTTCACAGTCCCCAATAACTTGTAACACTAAAGTGCAGTAATACACTGACAATGAACAACCAATAGGGCTAGGGTCTAATAATGACTCTAGTCATGCACAATGGCATACAGTAAAGTACATTTATTCATGGATTTAAAAGTACTGTTATTGTTAACAATTTTACTATCCATCAACTGCTATGACCTACATCGCACAGTTGAGATGTGGAGATCTGAGATGGACTCTATTAACACAGAAGGTTTTGCTGTCCACTGACAGGTAGCTGATGAGCAAATATCACTGACAGGCAACAAAAGGCACAGTGCTTCAGCAACCTGTAGCACTGAATGAAAGGTCACAAACTTCATATTTCATAAAGGGTTGGCCGATCAATCCCAAATCCCAATCCAACTCCAAAAAGCTTGCTGATAATCTAATGAAGGATACAGATATGACATAATGAAATCCACAAGGAAGTACTTAGCCTCTAATTCAAGTGAACCTATACCGTATGCATTTAGCATTTCTCAGCCCACTATGCTAGTGCTAGTGTGCTTGATATGCCCTAGTAATTTCAAATAGGGGCGACTGTGGTTCAGTGAGTAGAGCAGCTGTCTTCCAACCGGAGGGTCGGAGGTTCAAATCTTGGTGCTTGCAGTCCATGTGTTGAAGTGTCCTTGGGCAAGACACTGATCTCTCAAATTAGAACCATCAGTTGAGTTGGCGCCACAGATGGCTGCCTTGGTTCTGTACCGGAAACAAATTCCTTGTGTGTGTAACATACTTGGCCAAATAAAGATGATTATCCTTATCTTTTAGCTGGACTGGAGTAAAAACAGACCACCATGTATAACTGATCCAGAAGCCCATGTTTGGCTTTGTTGGGATTCTTCGATCGCCAATTCATTGATAGTATCAAATGTTCAACAGGAATATTTACTTTCAAAAAATCTCATGTACATGCACGCTATGAAAAGCTCTACTGTTACATCTCCAACCACTGACAAATGCATCACTACCACTAATCTGACAGGATGTTGCTGAAAATCCACGTTAGTGCAATTGATAGTTTTGCTCCTGGCAAACTATCATGGCAGATATGAACCACAGCCTCTGCAAGCCAAGTGGGGTGCATTTTAACCAATCAATTATGCATGCAGTGGAATTATTGATGGAGAGAATGTAGTGGGTTATCTGCCAGCACCAGAGATGAGTGCTATGAGGCTTAACCAAGCTGAAAGGTCTTGTGTACTGGATTTCTTTAAACATGTCTTGACCAACTACTGTGACAATTTAGGATTTTCTGTGATTAGAAAGAGTCACATGACTGAAAACTATGAAATGTGTTAGCAAACAGTTGCCCATTTAGGCATCCAGCAGACAAAGGCAAATATAAGCATTCATTTGGAGTGACATTTCACATAACATGCCAAATATATATATGTAAATCTGGTTCTTTAGCTGCTAAATGCTTCACTGTGTTCACCAGCTACTTTCAAACTTTGCCATTTGGTGCTGGGGAGGTAGGGTTCAGGGGGTTTACCAAAGCTTTCCTGCCTAAGACAGCGGCCTGCTACTGCTGTAAACAACCCTAATGAGAGAACTACCGTGGGCCAGAAACAATGGAGAAGAGACTAAAAAAAGTTAAAGCTGTGGCGAACTGAAACGTTCGGTGATAATTCTCTAAAGGATTTTCACTGCAAACTACTCATTTTCTATTGAACTATAGTATTGTGTAAATATTTTAGGCATTTTAAATGTTTTGGTTTTTATCCTTCATGCAATAATATCAGAGAGGTGTCTAATCAGTCCCAAATTCATTCTGCAGCATCACGATGAACCTGATCATATGTACTACCATAAAGGAGACAAGAAGAACAAAAAGTGCTGATATAGCCCCCACAGAGCCTTGACCTCACCATCGTGGAGTCTCAAGATACTCTAACAGCCTACGTGCCAAATCTCTTACAAAAATTATGTGTATTTGTACCAAGGAGAACTGACACTCTATTAAAAGCAAAAGGTGGTCACAGCAAATACTTATTTGATTTTTCTTTTTCTGTTTCCTGTTTACTGCACTTTGTATGATGTTAACTTATACTGTAAGTAAAACTACTCATGACCTTGCTTTACTTTTAGGGCCTAAAAAGTTTTCTCAGTACTTCTTAGTAGTTACTTGATGTACTGGTTTTAATTTGATACGGATTAGTGCAGCTTTAAGTTTAACACAAACATCAAATGTTTCCCTCAGGATGGGAGCAGGGTGCATTCCTGTCACTAAAGAATCTACTTTTTGTCCTCCTACACTTTCTCAAGTTTTGAGAAACTTGTAAACATTGCCCAAAATTGGTTCTCTTACCAGCCAACTGTCACAATTCTGATGAAAGAATGCCTTAAATGGACATGGCACACCTATTCTGTTCTTATGGTGTTATGTTGGTTGTTCTTTATTGTTGCTGTAACACAGAAATTTCCCCACTGTGGGATCAATAAAGTACCCACTCTACACTCACTCACTCTACTCTATTAGAATCACACCATAAGCCAACACCACAAGTTTCAGAAGCGCCCTGGTAACTGTGTGTTCACTGTCAGTACTCATTATTCACTTTGAATGGGTCTTTGTCCATTTACAGCACTGAGTAAATAAATGGCTGTCACATATCAGACAGCCCACACCCTTGTATGAACATTTATACATAATGGAAAATGCAACTGATCAGAAAAAGATGGCAGTTCTACAAAAATGTAAAAACAAAGTGTGCCATTAATCTGTTTTTACAAATAAGAAAGAATGTGCTTTGTGTTTAGCACTTTGCTTAACACTGACTATGTGCTACCTAATGAATAATCAAAATGACAAAATTAAATATTTCCATCTTGAGCCTGAAATAAATCATGACAAAACATAATGCTTTGAGTCTGTTAGTATTTGAATAATGTTGCACATTGGTTTTGAAAGTATAGAAATTTTGGCTATTGGGACAGCAATAGTAGAACTAGGAGCTGAATGCCTTTACAACATAAGCAAACAAACATACATTTAAATAATTGGGCAATCACAGTCCTAATCACACTATTTCCAAAACAACAAAAGAAACTATGACTGAGAGTACAACAGCTGTCAACCATAACCAAATAGTAGATATGATTTCACTGATAGTCAGGTAATGCAGATCACCTCTTTGCTTGGCAAAATCTACAGTAACATAATATCAGTAGAGGTCTGACCTGAGAAAGCCACTCCTCGTCCTCCTGACCACTGTGGTCCGATGCCAGGCTGTCTGATGATTCGTGACGTGTGATTGGGCCTGGGCTTCCTGGGGGCATCGCTGAGAGAACACGCACACAAAAGCAAACAAATCATTAAATGATCTCATACCTGATGCTGATATTAATATTTGTGAGCTGCCAATATTTTGTGCCAGTGTCCAACATCATCATAGTTTTCAAACCCTGAAACATCTCTAAAATTCTAATATTCAGTGTTTCTTACGTAATGGCATTCTTGCATAGTGTAAAATTCGGTGTAAAATGTGACAGTGACACAGCAATTGGGACGGGACATCAGTAAGGTAAAGCTAAGCGAGCAGTACATAAATCGGTCTGTGAAGGACAGTGATAGTTTATTAAAGTGTGTTAGAGTCATTAGGGTCGGAACACTGTGGTCTCTGACAGCAAATACTGTACCAATATAAGTAGGGTGAAGTCAACCTTAAACCCACAAGTAAAAGAGAAAAATAGTCTTTCACATGGGCATATAGGTTTGTGTCAGTGTGTGTGAAAAAGTAAGTGTACAGTAAAGTGAGAGAGAATCAGAGTGTGGCGACAGAGAGACCCACAGCCAGATGCGGCTCTTGCAGGCTTGAATTAGCAGGTGTGGAGAATGAGAACTAATGTGTAGGACCACTCCTCTCTGAGTCTTCCACCACAGGGATGGGGTTGGTTTTAGACAGGATTAGCTAATAAACTTGTCAAGTCTACATCTGGAGCACAGGAGACACTCCTGTCTTTATCCATCCACACACACACATTTACACACATACCAGGTGTTCATACAGTTGTGATAGAGGTAGTTTGGTGTTTGACACTATAATCAACCCCCATCCCCATAACCACCACACACATTCCTATAATTTATTAGTTCTGCACATTGCTTGCACCTGCTTCTGAAAAGGCGCTTGCTGTGTGTATAACTGTGCTCGAAAAAATATGTTTGGAAGGACTGGATACTTAGATAGAGCAGTTGCTGTGGCAGAACAGACTGAAACTACAGAAACTGCATAAAAAACTGGAGAAATACATAAGAGTGCATTGGACGAAGAGGAAACAGATTTTATTTAAAACACACTGACTATAAGAGATCATTCTACAAAGCAAAACCACAGATATCTCGTGATTTCTTTTTCAGGAAAACATACATTCTTAAAGAATCTCCCAACTAGCTTCTTAACTGCTTACTGGAATAAAATATTCATCTCAGAATCCTCACAGATTACTTGTCTGATTACTGATTACTGGAACAATATAATAGGCTTAGGTATGTATATGTTTACATCATTTTAAAGCATTATAATATTTTAATATCTCAGATCAAGTCGATACTTTAGACATGACGTCTAGGACTGCAGGACTGGTATCATTATAATTAAATTATTGATCTTTGTGTCAATTACTCATCATTTAATGTAAAAAAATAATGAGCAAGTCCAAGGTGACATTTTCAAATTGTTGTATTTGATCCACAGTCCAATGCCCAAAGACAGTCCTTTAAGAATACACACCACAATATATAAAACTGAGAAAAACAGCAAAAAAAACAAACAGCTAAAGAATGTTTTTTTTCTTGAAAAATTACTTAAATTACTATTTGATATAAAAATTGTTGATGAATAATTTTACTTTCAGCTGATAATTTTTTCAGGACCAGATATAACTACAGTAGGTTGCTCAAAACGTCTGTGAACATTCAGGGTGAACTGAGCCTTTACAGATAGCAAGTCCTAGAGTCAGAGGGAAGCAGAGGAGGTTACCCGTCTACTTTTTAAATGCAAGAGAGAAGAACAAAGCATGTGCTTGGTCACTTATTAAACAAAAACATGACTCCCCTATTTCCTCTGCCTGCTTTCATTCTCTCTGACTCTCTCTCCTTGCTCTCTGACCCCCGGGGCCAATAGCTGTCCCCTAATTAATTATTGATGTTCTGAAGCAGTTGGTTGACTGGCTGGATCAGGTTTCCGCTGGAAGGGATAAGGGATTCAATGGGCAATGCAAGGCTGTGGTGTGGGGAGCTAGTGGTCATCCTCATGGGTCAGGCAAAGACATAGTGTGCATGTCATGAGCCAGACTGACCCCGGCAGTTATAGTCATATCTACTCATCTTAGTGTCTGACTAGCCAGCCACTCAGCCTTCAGCTTTTACAGTGATGATTACTTGCTCTTAAAAGGCTGAATGTCAATGTAATTTCAAGAAAACAAACTTATTCCAGACCACCCAAGAAATTAGTCTGAATGTATGACCCAGTAAAAATGATTTGTTATTTATGGGTTTAATGAAAAACACAAATAACATGGTGCCATAAGTTATAAAGGATCAAAAAGGAATGGAAAAGAAGTTCAAGTTTAGTACCTGTAGTAATAATCTAGACAAATGGGTTGACTGTGGGTCAGAACCATTGCATTTGGTACTACACAGAAACTCAGAGATTTAGGAACAATGCATTGGATGTTTTGACCACAGTTATCATGCTGCCAAAATGCCTGTAAGGCTCAAATTATGCACTCTTTTACTATTTACACAGAAACATTAACAAACGGTTGTGACTCTTAGCCTTTTGCAGGCCCAATGTATCCAACTTTGCAGTTGTGCCACTTCAGGTACCAGTAAACTAAAAAATTCAAATGTTTCTCAGAGTTTATCAGATGGCAGAACATTAAAATTAAATGATTAGTACATTAATCAACTGGGCGGGTCACAGAATAATTACCAGCAATTATTCTGATATTCAAGTGTTCTTATGATCTTTTTTTAAATGTGAAATTTTCCCTACTTTCATCTTCTTACTTATGAGGATTTAGTGCTTTTATTTACCTGAAGTGAAAATAGTGTAAGTTTTAGTTTTTTCAGTTTAGTATAATTATCTTTAAGTTCAGAACTGATGTCATTTTGAGTTTTAGTGAATTGCAACACATTTTTTCCAATATTTTAGTTTTTTACTTTACAAACAATGAATCCATCAATTGAAAACATTCTGTGGGAAGGTTAATATTTAATTCAACGTAACA